TACCGACAGTTGAGCCTACCGACAGTTGAGCTCCCGACAAATGAGCTCCCGACATTTGAGCCTCACAAAATTGAAATTTCATCGATTAAATATAGAACACACGAAATTATTATTGAATCGCTTAATTCACTTGAAAATAGTGCACGGAAACATGAGACATCTTTCGATGGTACTGATGGCTCGTCGATATATTTTTCGTGGCTAAGTCAATCATCTGTACAGAAATGAACAAGTTTTTCGAACAATATTTCTGTGACTCATAAAGGTTTTATCATTCTTGGTATATTTTTCTATTATCCTTAACAATGTCAATCGTGAAATCTTCAAAAAACAAGGATCAACTTTTACTTAGTGGTTATCGTTATCGTCGTGCAAATAAATCTCAAATTATTTGGCGTTGTTGTCGAAATGACGTGCTGGTCGTGTACGTTTTGATGGAACAGGTTATATTAAAGTTATGGATCATCTTCATGCACCAAGTCCTGAAGAAACAATATCAGTGGAATTCAAATCAAATATCAGTTCTGGTGCAACAATATCGCATGATCCACCACGACGTATTATTCATCAGGCTTTATTAAATGTAAATAAAAATGATGCTTCAGCTGTTCCAAACTATTCATCAGCACAAAGAACTATTGAACGAAAACGAAAAAAACAAGATTTACCATTGTCACGACCAACATCATTTAATGATATTCTTATTCCTGATGCACTTAAAGTAACTAATGGTGGTAATCGATTTTTACTGTATAATAATGAAGATCCTGACCATAGAATGATTATATTATCATCTGATGATGATCTTGATTGTTTATCAAATTCTGAAAATTGGCATTGCGATGGAACATTTAAGACACGTTTTATAATGCTTATTAACTCTTAAAACAATCCTTTCATGCATATGTTTTTTTTTATAGATTGCGCCTGACTTGTTTTATCAGTTATATACTATTCATGGGTGCGTATGTGGACGTTCACTACCATTGGTCTTTTGTATTGTTGCTGGAAAATCTGAAGATATTTATAATGAAATTTTCGATGTTATTCTTAAACATGTATCTCAACGTCCTAGATCAATAACTATTGATTTTGAAAAGTCTGTTGAAAATGCTGTAAAACAAAATTTACCTATGACAACAATTAGTTTTTGTTTTTTCCATTTCAAACAGAATTTATGGAGGCAGATACAGGTCAGTGTCGGTTGATTTGATCATAATTATTATTGTATTAGATAATTTTAATTATATTTTATCTTGATATTTTAGACTTTGGGTTTACAACAATTATTCGTAGAAAATAATGATGTTCGACATTTATTAAAAAAATTTGGATGTTTAGCATTAATACCTGAACAATTTGTAATTGCTGAATTTGAAAAATTACAAACTGATTCACCAGACTCTATCAATGGTACGAAATATTTTTTAATCATTAAAAAAACTTATGATTTACTACTATAATTATTGTAGACTTCATCGATTACTACGAAGACAATTATATTGGTCGACCAATTCGCAATAATCGACGTCGTACTCCTCGTTTTTCGATTTCTATGTGGAATATTTATGCTCGTCTTGATCAACAATTACCAAGAACTAATAATTCAAGTGAGGGTTGGCACAGAGCCATTCAGGTAATCTTAATTCATGACGTTTTTCTCTTCATATAATAATTGCCTTTTCTTTTTAGTACTCTGTTCGTTCACATCCATCAATATACGAATCAATAAAAGATCTAAAAACTGAGCAACACGCGACATTAATTATGGCAGAACAGTTACGATCTGGTTCAATGAAACTCAGACGACGTGCCAAATATGAACTTATAGATGAACAATTACAACAATTGGCTTCTTCTTTTTATATAATAACAAGAGATATGTACTTTAAACGAGCAAGAGCTCTGTTTCATTTTTGATATAGATCTAAAATATATTTAAATGAATATATTTTTTTGTATTTATTAATTTTTTTTAATATGAGGCTCAAGTGTCGGAAGCTCATTTGTCGGGAGCTCAACTGTCGGTAGGCTCAACTGTCGGTA